ATGTAGTACATCAACCTCGACTCCATGGGTTGCGGTACGCATTCCTGCTCTACCGGTAGCTCCTGTTAATGTAAAATACTAAAATGATACTGACTTGCTATTCAGGATAAATATACATTTAACGTAAAGTCAATCGTGCCCATATTTCAAAAGCTGCATGCTCACGCCCACGTATTCTCCTGCACGTCACGCATGCGTAAATCTGCATTACGCGTAAACACAAGCCTAATTTATATCCCAAATAGTGGGGGATTTAAATTATACAATACCAGGGGTTAGATCGTGCAAGGCATGGTGGGATGTTATGTACTGTATATTTATGCTACGCAGGTCCTTGTCTGAAGGTGTACCCGATACCCTCTCCAAGTGTCTGGTAAAAACACTCATTGTACTAGAACCTGAAGGAGTTCCTTGTTTACTCTGCCGGTATAATGCAAACAGTGTTGTACATGTACATGTACTGTAGATCACAAGTAGAAACCCTGATGAGATTGCTATACCAGTAGGCTGTTGCTTCAAAGAAACCATAACTTGTCTGATGGTTATTCGATGGGGGGGCAGGTTGGGAGCAGGACAAAGGTGTCATGCTGGAATATTCACATTTTGTTTCTCAGCATTGGGGATGGGGACCATGCACATATGAGTCCATTGCTATCAATTGCAAATGGGCTTTGTTTGAACACAACAAGAACAAACAAGTAGAGGAGGCAGACGTACGGTACATGTACATGTGCATATCTTTCTCTTCAAGAGAGAGCACGGAACATGGAAGTTGGTTGCACAGCTCCGGCATTCAAACAGCTACCAGAAGGGTACGTGTATATGTTCATACATACCAGAAATTATAAACCTGTCATGTGATTTGCATTTCGTACTATGTACATCATCCTCTTTCGAGAGAGCATAGACCATGGGGTCCTGGATTGGACATGCGCTGGTTTAAATACATGTACAATTTTACAGTACATGTACATGTACTTAAGTCAAGAAAACAGCCATGATTCCCTTGTGTTACTCTGTAATTTTAAGAACACACTGTCCTGACTGTAATAGTGGTACACTGTATGTACATGTATCGTGCAGCGAGATATGCAACTTATCGCTGTTAGACCCCTCTACAACCACCCTGAATACCTGACAGAGATTTGGAAGCATCATCAATCCCTATTCTGCCACAGAGTGCAAGCAGTTAAATGTACTACTTATATGTACATGTACTTGTACGCACACTTTACCTGTGTGGTAATCAGTAGAGACAATGCTGAGAAATCCTGTGTGTGGTACACATTGCAAATTGCAACATTTAAAGCTGTTAGGAACGTGCATAATGAAGCAGAGCCATACGCTTGGTTTGACAGGATAATCCTCTGAAGTCCAGGGTAAATGTTGCAGAAAATTGTCTGTATTTTAATCTTTACACCATACATGATGTATAGTGCTACTCAGGCATGCACATGTAAATGTACATGCAAGCCCAAATAATGTACCGTACACATGTGTGGTACATCATACTGGTAATGTTGTTGCCTGCTATGGTACCGTTAGAGCACATGGTGTTTTGTACACGGAAGGGGTTTTATGGCACCAGAAGTATTTCGTTTTGTCGGTACCACGGTAATATGATTGCCAAAGAATTGAAATTAAGTGAAAGATGTTTTTTTGCGGAATGATTCATTTCACTGAAATTGTTTTTAGCAAAAAAGTGTTTAGCTGAACAAGTTCAATTACATGTAAATTAAACAATTGGTACATGTACATGCAGGAAGTGCCATCTTTGTAGTGACATTTCCAAAGGAATCTTCCACCAAACTGTCCCCTTCTGTCACGACTGAAAATACTGGTATGTGAACTATTTGATTTTGAGCAGAAAGTTCTGTATTTTGCTTTGTGCTGATGCTGTCCACTTTAATAAAAAAAAGTCAAATTTCTGATTCCGTTTTCCGAACGATTGAGAGATGACGCTCTTATTTGGAAGGACCTGTTTTCATCTGTTAACCGTATCATGGTAAAATCAGTATGGCGTAATTGGTACAGTTCAAAAAGGAAACAAGACAGATGAATGGAACAGTAACAAGCAAACGAAGCAGAAACATACATGTACATGTAGCTCCACTTTTTCCCATGCTACATCTTGCAGGAATAGTATTAGCATACCGGTAGCAACAGCCTCGTACATGTACATGTACCCGAGGTAATACTGATGTACGGTAATACAACAAGGTTTAAAGGACACTTTCAAGAGCTGGCAAAATGAGGTACAGGTAATGTACCCTGTGGGGTACATCACTCGAGTACCATGACCTACATGTACATTGTATATCACTGTGATACATGCACGTTTTATGCACCTCATGGGGTTGGTCAGCACAAGTGTGAACTACATGTACATGTATGTATCAGATTGATTACTGTACTTGTTTGGACTTGATGAACATGTGAAAGTGAAGTCATGCATGTAAACATTACTCACACATGTACGATATGGTAGCTCCTTACAAATGACTGCCTCCGTAGTTTTTCATGTGCCAGTATTGGCAGTACATGTACCTGTACCTACTGCTACCTTGCATGCACATGCACTGATAAAAACAAATAACCAGAAACAACATTTAGAAAACCCAAACAATAAAATAATGGTAACCCTTCTTCCACACCATTGACTTGCACGGTGCACCAGTCGCTGAGTACTTTCTAAGCTACTGGTATATACCGGTCTATTCACAGAGAGGTCTTCCAGACCCCGCTCAAATTTACTATCAATACCACAATAAACAAAAAAGAGGAGTATTCCTTCTCTTCCTCAGGAGGAAAACAACCCAATTCTGCCCCCATTAGGCATCCTTGGAGGCATTCTTAGGTGGGAAACGCTGTCCAAATTCATGGCTCAATTGAATTCCAACTCATTTACAAGTGCGGTATTTGTACTAATCCAGTTCCCATTGGGTTTGCGTGCCATTAAATTGTTTGCTATCTACTTGCCTATACAGTATGTACCCCGGTAGATGTAGCTGGCCATAAGGAAGTGCGCAGAAAGTGCATTGTATGGAATTTCTGTGGGCTTTGGATACACATTGTCTTAGCGAAAATAATTTTCAGAAGTTAATTGTTTCAAGTTTTTGTTACCTACAAGTGTTTGCGTACTAGCATGGAGCTTTGTAGCTCCATGGTACTAGCATGTGCTACAGTGTACATGTACATGTATGCAGTACCGGTACATGTACATGTACATATAGACACATGTACATGTACATGTAGTGGTACAAGTCATAAACCAAAGGAAGGTTGAACTTGCAAAACAAACTCTTTTTCACTGTCATCAGTAGGTTCGAACATCTACCGTATGCATACCGGTATTGTGCCTGTACGTATACATATTTCTACGATGGTCACGGTACCAGTACGTGTGTGTATGTACACTTATCTTGCAAAGATATACAGTGTATGTACATGTATTTTGCTTTTTTCAGAACTGGAAGTTCTATGAAAGATTAATTGGATTAAAGTTGGTCAAGCTTTTCTGCTCATGTGAAGCAACGCCGTGCTCCAGTTATGGTTCAGGTTCTTCAAGTCTGATGTTAATCTCTTTGGGTCCTTTTCATTTATTTATTTTTATCACGCTTCATTTATTAATTTATTTGCTTACTTTTTTATCACTCTTGCAGATCACCACCCTTGTCAACCACCGAGAGAAGCCAGGCAAGAAGTCGGAGAAGACCTGCAAGGCAATTGAGCGTGTTGGCCAGGCAGTCAACCTTGCCATTGAGCGGTTTGTGTCAGTTGGTGAAGCCATCGGAGACAACAATGCCGACATCAAGGACGATATGTTTGACGCCTGCAGAGAGGCTAGGCTGGCTGGTAGAGTATTTCACATGTTTTGCACATTTCTGTGTAAAAGGCATGGAGTTATTTCTGGAGATCAAGCTTGCAGAATGTTCACTGTGCATTTCTTTTGTAAAGCAGAAAGGCTAAGGAGAGTAGGCCTTCCTTCAGTTTCATGGACAGTGATCAGAAAATCATGTCCAGCATTTCTGGGAGAAAGAGTTTAAATGCAACCAGTCATTTCTATTGTGTCGTGTGGATAAATCCAGAAATGAGGGGTCCATTTTTTTCATGTCCCTGTCACGTCTGATATGATTTTGTAAGTTAAGAGCACATTTTCTGATTTCTGAGAGTGAAATTAATGCAAAGTACCTGCCCAACAAATAGTAATAGTTTGAGATCAATTCTGGTGATATTTCCATGCCAAATAAAAAAGGTCAGATGTAACAGGGACACAAAAAGTCACACTTTTGGACCCCTAATTTCTGGAATTACCCTTATAACCTTTTTTGCCAAGCAAAGCTGTTCCATGCTCAGAGGAAATTTTTGCCAGCAGTTGTGAACGAGTCCCAGTGCTTTGCAGCCAGACTACATGTACTGTATGTATGAAAGTAGGGAAACTCTGGCTGTCTGGACATTATTTCTTGATTGGGAAGAGACACTTTGAGTGTGGCAAATTTTAACTCCAAGATTGAATCGCCAGTATAAACAAATCTAGGGAATGTTTCACTTGACATTCCTATGATGGGCCCTTTAAACCCTAACCTCACTGAAAGCTACAAAATACCATCAATGTAGCATACAGTGCTGTGGCGTCTATGAGTACATAACCTTATTGTTCTCTGAAGCCGTAAAATACAACTATTAAGACAATGTATCATACATGTACGTGTACACATGTACAATGCTGTGGCACTATGAATGCTGGTACATGACCTTAAATTGTTCTCTGTATGAGTAACAATGGAAGTGCCCTAGCCAGAAGTAGTAATTTGTTGCGCTAGGTCCTTCAGGCTCAGACTACTATGTAGTGTTTTGTAGTACTGAGTCCTGTACCCTATGTTATATGCCAGGGGGTTAGGGTTTATGGCAGGAAGCACTGTGTTTGGCTTTGTACTGAGCATTGTCACGGAACAGTGGCTCCATACAACCATGACAACAGTTATCGCAATGCGTACCTCCATCGACTGGGACCACTGCAAATGACTAGTGATAGTGTTACCCGTGGTTGCTGTATTGATAGTTGTATGTTGTTGTTGAACTTCTCCATGTTGTCAGTTCATCAACGTGCATCCCCACAACGTTTTTAGATGCACGTTCTTGCTCCATGGCATTTTTGCTCTGTACACGTTCCTAACAAAGTTTGCTGGTTATTCAAGTCGAAGTCTCTTCCAGACAAGTAGGCAGGGTGTAATGGGTCATCCCGAAGTCTCTCATCCCTCCAGTGTGGCGCAAGACGGATACACTCTGGAGAGCGGTTTGCACACATGCACCAAATTAGCGTGCGTTTAATGGACCACGTAACTTGATTAACTGTGCATGGTATTGACTGGCTGTCTGGGGCTGTTTACCCTGGACACAGCTGGTGCAATTCCTCTTCAGACCTTGATGGAGTCCTGAGACAACCCCAATGTGTGAAATTACTCTCAGTCTGTAGTGGCGGAGGTGGAAGTGTGAGAAGAACCTCATTGATTGGGAAATATTGCAGTGCGCCAATCTAGTGTCTTGCACGACCATCATTGAAAGTCATTAGTTCCAGTGTACATGTAGTTCCCATGTGTGCAACTTCTGCGCTGCCAAATAAGTAGTCTGTGCAAATGTCAAACAAAATAGCTTCATAAAAAATGGATGTAGCCGTATACTATACAGCGCCATCCACGAGTAAGTACCCATTTGAGAACGGAGCAATACATGCATGTTTGCAGCCCTTGAACACCTCCTATCTCGCTCTCACTTGACTTGTTCTCGCACCAGGTTTGCACGAAGGTCGCTTGCAAGAAGAACGAATTTCCAACAGTACATGTACCGGTACCTTGAAAGTAACTGGAGCCCCCTCGATACTGTTCACTCACCGTGAAATAAACGTCCATTTGGCCAGACCTGGAACGGGCATGTGTACATGTACATGTATACTGTGCACCAGTAGTACGGAAGAAATGAATTTGGTTGTTAGTAGCACTTAAACCCAGAAAATTAGTGGCATTTAATTGTCTATAGGCAAACTTACAATTTTGTAAAGGAGGCAGGATTGGCCCAAGGGATATCCCCTCTGGTGCATGTACAGGGAATGTATGTACTAGTACATTTCATAAAAATGTGGACATTGTCAACAGTTTGACAATTACCGGTACAATCTGACAATAGTCCCAGTCATGTAGATGTGCAGGTTGAGTGATGTACATGCACATGCACATGCACCAGTACTTGTATGGTATATGTAGAGCCAGCAGGTGATTTTGCAGAGGGCAGTTATGTACATCAGAATATAGAACAGAAAATATTTGACATTTGATTTAATGCACACATATAAATACTGCAGGACAGTGCATGAAGTGACAAGACAAGGAAACTTTAAGACTTCCTTAGTGAGCCGAAATATTTACATGTACGTGTAACAGGTAACAGCGTGTTACCAATATACTGGACTGGTTAATAGAAGTCAGGTTTCATACATGTAGCTATTGCATCAGTGATGTTGCTCTTTTACAAATTCAATTGCATACATGTATTTGTTAGCATCAGATGCCAGTAAGTTGGAGCTCCCTTTAAACATTGCACACATAAAGATTGACACACAATCAGGAACAAAGTTGGTTAAAAATCTGTGCATGTATTTTAGGTTGGGCATGCATGCATTTTTCATGATATTTTGTCTTAAAGTTATCCAATGACCAATTGAGAACAAAAGAAAGAGGGTAAGGGATAGGTATTAGTGTCTCTCTTGAACAAACAAGGGCAGTGTAAGAGGCAGTATGTCTGGAAAGCCTTCCCCTCCCCCTTCTTCCCCCTTGGCCCTCCCCCGAATCTGCTACTGCATTATAAACTTGCCTTGAGTCTAGTAGTTTAAGTACCAGCTTGACTGGCCTGTTTGTTATTACTGTCGCATTGCCCAGAGTTAGCGTAACAGTTTTTGGTATTGATCGGGAGTAATCAATACCGTACACACACTGCATCTCGGTGAAGACGGCTAGAATTAATTAGATATTGAACTTCAGCTTCTACCAGATGGAATTGTCAGTGGAATCTTCCATCTCTTGTGCATCTTGACAAGAAGAGACAGTTTATTTTGACCAGCACAATGTAGAAAAATATCAAGCATTATAAAGAAAAGAAACCAGCGTTCCGCATGGTTTTGGTTTTGTTGTCTTTGTAACAAACATGCACATGTGATATTTATTTCCTCCAACGGTCTTGCTTTCATTTCTAGTGGCTAAGTTTTAGGGTAGAGATTTATATTGCTCACATACATGTGTACATGTACCGGTACATTTATGGTAAATGTACATGTAAATGTGCATGTACATGTAGTTAAACCAGAATTTACTGAATGATTCACGATTCATTTTAGTATTTAACGCCATAAAAATAAGAAGCCTCCAGTAATCTGGCGAGCAAACTTACCAGTAGAAGCCATCAGTGTTCTGGCAATGGTCACTCCAGTGACACGACAATCGCATGCAGGTGGCAGAGTGCTTTGACTCTGAATGTGTGTACACCTCATGTTTGAGTGTGGTAACGCTAGGAAAATGGTGGCTAATTGGATTACATGTATAGTGTACTTTTCAAGTTACGAATTTGCACATGGATGGTCATATTTCATACCATAACAGCATACAGGTACAGTAGCACAGTCATTTTAAAAAGTTTCGCCCTTTTAACTGCCAACCACAGAATTTCCATACATGTACATGTGTACATGTAAGTATGTGGAGCTTTTTCTACATATATCTTTGTCACATCCTTCTCAAATTACAAACAAATGGAGGATGTTAGACTCTGGACGTTAGAAGTTGTAGAATTGGCCTGCACTATGTACATGTATGTACATGTACACATGTACATGTATTTGCTCAATAATTTTTATGTTTTTAATATTTAATATGGCCAGTGTTTGTGGAGCTCCTAAATCTTCAACATGATACAAGGATCTTCAATTTTTAAGACAGTAAATTATCAGGAGTTGATCATAAACTCTACAGTGCATGTTTCAGTATTAGCGTCTTGTACAGGTACCAAGGCTTTGTGACGACGTTGGACCATACATGTAAGAACTAGCATGACCATTTTCACAGCATTGCCCCTTCACCCCCTGTGCCTTCCTGTTTGCTGGCACTCTCATTCCTGACAGCTGTCTTTCCTTTCCTTCTCCCACCTCTGCTCTCCCTCCGCTGTCACTCAGGTGAGAACATCGCCAAGCTGACAGACATCACCTACGATGAGTCGGGCCAGGTCATGAGCCCAGCTGACAAAAGCGCGATGGTGCGAGCTGCCAGGGGCCTGCTGTCAGCCGTCACCCGCGTACTCCTGCTGGCCGACAGAGTGGTCATCAAGCAGATACAGGCCGCCAAGCTCAAAGTAAGTGGCCGAAGGGGGACAGAATGCTGTCTGCCATTTGACAGAAAGTAAACACTGACTGACTGGTATAGAGCTCACTTCTCCCCCCCCCCCCGTTTGATGATTAGCGTGGTAGTTTTATACAGTACGCAAAGAGGAAACCCTAACAGAAATCAGCATTTTTGTTGTCATCATTCATGAGGTGTTGGAGTCATTGGCAGTTGGGTAAACATACTGACTGATGGGATAACAATCAGGGAACCTGTGATAGAGCTGATGAAGTGTAAACCATCCCAAGACTGACACCTGTGCCGGTACTTGCTGATGTACTACAGTGGAATGCTGGTGTTGCAAAATCAGATTATCAAACAATTGGGTGTAACAAGCATCTCCCCTTTTCTCGTTTTGTCCTTTTTTTTCTGTTTCCGTAGGCCTACATTTCTAGAGCTGATTTACCCATGCTGTACCGTCACCTTTAGTGACACACTGTATGTATTCTACTGTGCACCAACACACATTTCTGTTACCTTCAAGTACATGTACCTGCCGGTAGTGTGGAAATTCCTTCATTTTCGTGTACACATAGTTAAGAAAGCTCTGTGAAATACCACTTTTCCTGAGCCATGAGCACTCTTAATTGAAATGGGAGGATTTGTTCCTGTTGGGCTTAATGCAGATTTAAAAGTTTTCTCCTTGACTGTTCCTTGTTCTTTTGCTTCAGATTTAACCCAACCCAAATACATGTGTATGCTTTTACACTGTAAAACTGCCGTATTTACCAGAAAGAGGCTAACCTTATGTGAACCTGGATTATAGTCCACACAAGATTTACACAACATTGTGTGGACCTCTTTTGTTCACAGATCCACACTAGGTACATGTACATGTATGTAAGGTTGGCACACAACAGTGTGTAAACACCTTCAGGCCTGGAATCCTTCTGTCCTAAACATGTTTATTGTAGCTTTTTGTGAATGGTACCAGTAGGATTTGTGCATAGCATTTCTAATCTTGGACCCTTGACAGTTGTGGACTCTGATGTCCGCAAGATTTGAGAACCCACTGTATTACTTACTGTAAATGTACAGGTACCTAGTGAACGTTGCTTTGTTTTTGTGTACTTCAGAATACTCAATAAATACTAACTTTCTAATGCTGTGAGTGCTGCTTTATGCTGGATTTTAAATGACTTTTTTGTTGACTGTTCCTCTTCATTTTACTATGCAACTCCCAAATCACCTCTAAAACTGTTCAGAGAGAGATAACCTTGTGTGGACTTGGTTTAGCCCACACAGTGCTGATACATGCACATGAGGACCTGTTTTGTTCTTAGGTCCAGGCAAGGTACATGTACATACTCACCTTTAATTAATGTGAGGTGTGTGCCCTGTGCTGAGCATCAAAGAACTGCCAAAAAAGGTTAAGATAATGGCCGACCTTGTTGACACCAGTTAGCATGTACATGTGCATTATTTACAAATTTTTACAGATATCATCTAGACCAGTGGTGTCTCCACACATATGTTAATTATAAAACTTGGCCTACAGTCCTAACAAACCCCTGATGCCTGTCTGCTGCCTCACTGACAAAAATCTTCACCATTTCTTCAATTCCTCAAGTATCGAGCACTTTGGAAGTTCAGTGTCATTTTATGCCCGCTAGTTCTTCAAGAATCTTCAGAGCCGAAAAGTCAACATTGTTTGTGGGGGGGGGTTATTCTCTTGACAGGTAAAGGGGTTATCAAATAGGGGAGAAGGGTAAACAAGCCTGGGACACCAACATGTACAAGTGTTGATGGTTCAGGGCAGGTAAACAGTCCGTGAAGTAGCCATAAAGCTCTTGCAGGGAAGGCAAGGAGGAGGCTGGGAGCTCAACAGTCTCCAGGGTGCATGCACTTCCAAGATAATGAGAGACCTACAAATCGATGCCAAGGTAATCAAAATATTTGATCCAGAAGATGGAAGAGCAACATTGTAGTGTACATGTAGGCAATTGCTTCAAAGTGTTTGGTAGTCAGTGCAGAAGACTGTGCGTACATGTACTTGTATTTTAGGCTTGTATTTCAGGCACCTAGAGCGTTTAAAAGTAGGAGGATAAAGCAAGAATCTGAAATGGCATGCAAACAGCCAACATACGACCTTTGTCATGTAGGGTTGTAGGGTGCCCGTGCTGTACAGATGAAGGGGTGATTGAACTAAAGGGGACAATGGATTTTTCACTGCTCCAAGATTGTCAATGATCTTGTTGCATGCGAAACAAAGGGGCATCTCACATAAAATGAAATGGCAGTAGGGGTACGTACATGTACATATACCGGTATACCTGTACCTACAGGTACATGTACAGTATATGGCATTGTTCACTTTAGCTTTTAATAAGTTCTGAGGTAATGACCTTTTCATCAGTAGTCAAGTATGAAAATTTAATACAGACTTCTTGAGCACTCCAAATTTTCTGGAACTGTACAGATGAAAGAAAATGTGCAAATATTAATGCATGGATTTTCAGATTACATGTACACATTCAGTATAGACTAAGACTGTAGACTAGTATAGTATGCGTCGAACAAATGAGCTCAGAGATATGAGGTTTTGGCTTGATTCAGTGTGGTTGCTTGCTGCGAGAACGTGTACTTGCACCATACAGATGCAAACAATTTCTACAGACTTGGAGGCAGATGTGACCACCATCCAATCTTGTCATGTTCGCTTCTTTCCTCCCCCCCCAGATCAAGTACAGTATGTGTTTCTGCCGCAGTGCCTCTGGTGGGTGCTAAAAATGATTGAATTGAGTGTCATTTGAGACATCTGCTGGCCCCAAAAATTTCACAAGAAAAAAAAAATGAAAAGAAAGAAAGAAGCAGCCCAAGTTGGTGGAAAATAACTGGCATCACATTTCATTCCCAAGAGGTTGAAATCCGCAGTTCTGTCCACTGGCCTGATTGATACACGTACTATGAAAATGTTCCAACCAGCCATATCCACTGCAGAGGGCGTATATTCTTTCATCGCTGCCTGCATATCAAGTTCTCCAAAGAACTTTTGTAATCTTTTCATTTCTGTCCTCCTCTTTACAATATTTCAAAGAGCTTCTTGTTATCTTAAATCTGGGTCAGGGTCTCCATTTTTTTGTCGGAACAAGGGAAATTTTTCATTATTGGACGGAGATGTAGAGACTTTCTTGAGCATTTTTATTTTCTGCATTGGCATTTCATGCTTGCTCAATTCTAATCAGCGTGCTTTGGGTGTTTTACCCTTTCAGATTGTCAGGAAAGTGACTTACATGTAACTACACATGGGAGCACATGTACATGTACCATACATACATGTGGGTTTTGTTTTTTGTTTCAAGTTCCAAAGCTGGAACATATACCGGTACAATGTACATGTACATGTACTGTACATGTGATTCTTTTTTCTCATCATCATGTCATTACTTTATTCTGTGTTGATGTTCAACACCATTTACATCCTTTTATGTGATATTTTGACTGTCACTTATACAGTTTTTACAGTTTTCTCATCTGTAGAATTAGAAATGGTTGGAAGATTTCAGTAGATATTTTTTGTTTCCAAAACACCCCAAACTTGGGCACACAGTACATTTATTTGGCTGAATAAGCAATTACATCGTGTATGCTTTCAGTCACCGTGCTTTCACAGCAAATATTTTGGGAGCATTTTGCAAATCACAGTCACAGTGGCTCTTGTGTAATTGTCTAGAATTTGGCGTCAAGGATGTTGGTGTTGTATTTCACAGTCCTCGCTTTCAGCCGCTTTTAGCGCGGACAACATCGGGTGCATTTTAGGACATTTTCTCCCATCAAGACAGCCGTTGTCATGGAAACCCCCCTTTTAGTGCATCCTTACAGCCTACCTGCATGACCTGTACATGTACATGTACATGTTCCGTCGTTCTGTGGAACAATATGCAAAATGTTGTTGAAGCTTGTGTACAGTTCCCCGTTATACATTGCACTTGTTAATGGACATGTACATATATATATGCATGTACATTGCTTTTATTGAAACATTGATATTATTTGTGAAAACGTACAGGTACATACAAAAAACAGTAGTTTTCAACATACAGTGGTTCAGATTTGCTTGCATGTACTAGGTACATGTAATTTCATGGTCATGGTAACTTGTCTTTTTATAAAATCATGACTGATTTCTTTCTCTTACCAAGTGATCTAGTGTAAATTTACTTTTTGCATTCAAACTGCACTGTGTTCTTTTATACATGTACATACTGTAGGAGACAGTGTACATTGTATGTACATGTACATCTACCGGTACACAGTGAACTATTCTTGCATGCTGTGCTAACACATGGTATCAGAGTCCAGCAACTTTTGGGTCAATTTAGGCCACTGGAGATCCATATCCATCATCAGGAATCGCATTTTGGGTGACCCTGGCAAAAAGGGGTAATTTTTCTTTCACAAAGTAGTTTTTTGCTGGAAAGTGCAACGTTTTGGTTGTTAGCATGCAAGCCTGTGCCTACATGTGCATGAAGGCTCTGCATGTACTGTACATACATATACAGTGTACTTGTAACATGCTGTACATGTACACGTAAGTTGTACTTTTTGTCGTGGAGATTTAATTATGTAGTTAAACTGTAGATTTAATCTGTGTGGATCAGCAGCAGTTTTTAGACAGCTGTGTGTCATTACTTCACTTGTTTGAAATGTTTACATGTGCCCTGTTCACACCTGCATGTTGGTGCATGAGAGTACATGTACTTCAATTGGTGTACTAAACTAGGATATTAATGGAAATCTTTAAATTTCATTAACCCTAAAAGTCCTCAGTCCTCCAACAGGTGAAGGATTGAGGAGTGTTAGGGTTAAGGGAATAAATGTGACTGACTCTGGAAAAATGGGTAATGAGTCGCCAGATTCAGGTTATGAGTTTTTGATATGGCTGGTTTCTGTACATCAAAAGCTACAGTTTGATATATGAATGACCCATGTAGTGCACTTCATTCAGGAGATATACATGTACATGTATGG